ATTACTTATCAAACTTAACATAAAAAGGTTTCAATGCATCATAATCAAATCCCATGCCATCCTCAACAAAAAGCAGTACATAATTTCAGAGAAGTATTCAAGATTTGTTGTTTTTTTTTCTTTTCAAATTAAATGCCTTTTTTTTTCTCTTAGGATCATATCATGCAGGTTTTGTTTTCAACCCCAAAAAACAATATTTTCATCAAATCATTATACGGATGACAAAAGATAATTCAGATAGATAGACCGTCATTAACCAAGACAGATAGGCAAAAAGACAGACAGAGAGATATTATTTTGCAAATTGTCTTACGCTTTGGGCTAAATATGGTAGAGAAAGAGCTTATATCCAACATCACGTTTTTTCACCCAATCAGTGGTGCCCTGCACCTGTATGATCAGCTGTATCGCAGGTATGCCTGGAGTAATTACCCGTTTGCATGTAATCTGCTGCCAACTGACAGGTAATAAATCTGATGGAACCTTTCTTACAGAACAGGAGGGGAGAAGGGGAGGGGGGGGGGGACTCAAACCAAAATCCGAGAGGGAAATGGGATAATCGAAGATCATGACAGATTACTCGACTGGTCCACTGAGGTAACAATCTACATAAAATTGGGTTCTGTGAAATTCATAATGACATCTTTGCTTTAATATTCCATTTATATAAAAAAAAACTATTTCCTTTCTTTAAATATCACCTAAATGACATAAATTGAGAAACAAAATGTACTTAAAACACAAAACAATGTTAAGTTCTGTGTTAAAAGGGTAATGCAGGATCTGAAATTTCAGTACAAAATAATAGAAAGGGAAGTGAGTTTATCAGTGGTTAATTTCATCAGAAATGAAGTTAATGGTGTTTATCATTTCCATAATCATAACACTGATATAACACTTAGCATGGTTTCCACATTAGCCACAGAGATAGACTCTGATATCTTAGGCAAACACTTTTACCTTACTCTCTCCAGAATAAAAAAATATTCGATTAGACAAATATTTTATCTTGTTCCCTTGGTGAAGAACACTTTAACTCACCTCAACTCCATCAACACCTTATTCTACATTCATGAATTTGTATAACAATTCTACTTGTCTTGACATTGGACTTCACCTTGTCATTCAAAGTCAAACATCTTTAAAAAGTTATAAGTATTCATTTTCACAAGATTTATTTACTTGGTATGTATTATTTCAGGTTGATTTATAATGGACAATATTATCAGTCCTGTAAATTGTTTTAGCTCAGTTTTACAGTTCCTGATAAAATAATGAGTCGGATGTCTATTTCAAACCCTATGTTTATTGTTATCAGGCCTCTTGTGGCTCAAAACTTTTTATCTTCTCTTCTAGTTTGAACTAACATAGGTCAAACAGTCCTGAGTCAGAAATAGACTGAGCTTGATAACTGAGTTTTATCTTGTTAAAACTCCCTACACAAATAGAGACCACTGCCAGTGTCACTCATCAGGCCTTTCTCTTTAGATTTCACTAATCTGGACAATAACATGATAGAATTCAAATCGTTGGTCAGGCCAATGCCCAAAACTGATATCTTACTTTTTTAGATTAAAGTAATTACTAGTCAATGCACAGATTCAGTTCAGCGTCTTAACCTGATTGCTTTCATGAATTAGTAAAAGAAAAAAGAGANTAGAGACCACTGCCAGTGTCACTCATCAGGCCTTTCTCTTTAGATTTCACTAATCTGGACAATAACATGATAGAATTCAAATCGTTGGTCAGGCCAATGCCCAAAACTGATAGCTTACTTTTTTAGATTAAAGTAATTACTAGTCAATGCACAGATTCAGTTCAGCGTCTTAACCTGATTGCTTTCATGAATTAGTAAAAGAAAAAAGAGAGACAAAAAGCTGGTCAGACTGATAAGATCTAACACTTAAAACAACAGCTCCCAGACTGTATTGAAAACAGCTCCCAGGACTAATTCTGTGTTTTTCTGAGATCTATCTGATTTAGGGTCTTGTAGTACAGATGTGAAGACCCAAACCAGTCCAGCCCCCCACCCACCCACCCACCCCTACTCAAAAAAATAAAATTAAAATAATATAATAATAAAATGCAAATTAATAATAATAATTTTTATTATTATTATATTATACCACAAAGAAGAGTATCCCTTTCTTCACCAATTTTCCATCTAGGTTAGAAGAAAATATTTCGGTTTTGAAAAAGAAAGGGTGAGATATCTTGCTTGCTTTTTTATCCTACAGACGATACATGTTTTAAAAAGGTACAGCTCTTATATATATCAGACCTACATGAAATCTGTTAATATAAAACCTGGGCGTTTTACTTGAAACCTTCCCTAAGTTCCATGGCCCTATAGCTCTCACATTACAACCATCTGTATGTGTGTGAAAAATGAGAGAGGTTTGATTTCACGGCACACGTGTTAGTAGATATATCCCCCTTGGAAATGAAAACATGGTTTGTTCAGGTGCTGCAGCAGTTGTTTTTAGACTTTCTGGAGTGGAATGAGAATAAGTGCTCGTCTGCAGAAGATATTCTTTCCGTGCATTATTTGCATTCAGTGATCAGGGTCTTCTATAGGACACACCAAATCTTGTTGAGAGATCTTCCCATATTGATAGCTTCCTACATTGATCTGTCCACCCCAGTCGTATACTTTTACAATATAGAACTGATGAATTTGGTGGCCGTTTAGGTAGTTCTGACAAAAGGGGGTATATCTTTTTGAAAGAAACATGGAAGACTTCATTTCAGCTTTGACAGAAAAACTTTGTTTGCCATGTGGAAGTCTATGGCTCAGGTGTGGATTCTTCATATTGTAATATAACCCTTTCACCTCTTCTCCTTGTTTTTCCCAAACAGTTATTTTCTATGGACACATTAAGCTCTAGTTGGTTTGATTAAATCACCATAGGAAATGCAAAAGGTGTGTTTAAACTGTTAACAGATTTGTACCATCAGTGGAAACGTGTAGCATTATCCAAAAATCCAATTCAACAACATTAAATTCTGATGGTCTTTAGGTGTTAAATGTCAAAAAATGACGTTTGAACATAAAAGGAACAATATTAGTCAGTGATTTTTTTATGTGAGCACAAACATTTGATAGCACAAACTGGGTGTGGAATATGTGAAAGCCTGAGCAAACAAGATTTATTCAAATCTCATCTCGATTAACTTTTCAATATTTGCCAAGCTGCTTCTTCTCACGTCCATATGCATAACATTAGAATACTAAATCAATTTCAAGCCATGCATTTCCCCTCTCATTCCCCTGGCCCCATACAATTATCATTACAAATTGACTCAGTTACCACTGATTATAGCAGTCAAATGTTTTCTAAACGACTCATTACTTCTCTACTTTTCATCCTCCTCGGATTTTCATAAAACCCACCTTTTGTCCATTTTTATATCACTATATTACTCCCCTCCCTTCTCAGAATCCATTCAAGTCAACCAGGAAAATAAGAATGAAAAAAGGGATTTAAAACACTTCCTTTATTGGCAACTTTCTGGTGTGCCATGCTGCACCTATACTGCTCCATACAATTGTTGGTAACTGCCATTCCTTCTTTGATGTAAATTTAATTAGCATTTCTATGTGCTAATGGCCTTTGGTTTTTCCATAAATTGGCTACGAGTACTCGGTGACATCAACAAATCACCCATTCAACAACAACTGCAGCTGATCATAATGACACAAATACCGCGACTGCAGTGTGCAATTTTCACAGCACTTTTTTCTTTCCAATATTTCGAGTCAACAGAAGTCTCAGAATAACAATCATGGTACACGCTCAATGTACGTAAGTTATTCACATGTAATAGTATTGATGCATTAATTACAGCACAAACTGTGATTTGATAGATACAGTGGACAATGGGGACCCAGTGAATCAATAAACTGCCAGTATGCTTTTCAAACACACACGACACAATGGTACACTAACAACTGGGTAACTCGCCATTATACGGGTGAATAACTCTGAATAGCTGACACCCAAAGTCATAATTCCGGGGTGCTGATCCTTTCTGGCTGGAGGCACACAGCCACGTGCCCTGTGAAGTGGAGCGAACTGAATGATCCCTTAATTGTCTCATCTCCCAATCCACATACCTGGCCAGCGGTTCCATTTTCTTCCTTGTTTTTTTTTTTTTAAATCCACAATTGAGATTGACAAGATTTTGATGGAGAACTGTTATTCACGCCAGGCAGCACATATTCAAGTCCTTTGAATGAGATGTCACGCTGAATCATAAATCCACTTTGCTTGTTTGTTTGTTTTTTTTTTCTTTTTTTTATATATCTTTTTTTCTTGTTGAATTTTTGAGAACCAAAGATGTCATAACAAGACCTGTACTTCTTAAAAACTTGAAAAAAAAAATAACATGCCCGCTCTAAAAGTGCTAATGGTAAATGTTCAGGTGTGCAAAGGCAGGGTTCAACTGCAAGCATGCCTAACGTACGTAAGTATATATGGTACGGCAAAAATCATCAAATCCTATTCATCAATATAGGTTGGGTAAGATTTGTGTAGAGAGTATATATACCAATCAAACGACGCAGGAAACCAAGATTGAATAATGAACATATGCAGCCACGGGGTTAGATATAGCGCAGGATTGGTAGGGGATATAGCCCACGGAGGATTGAGGGAGGGTGTAGTAAATACAAAATACCGGCATAAATTATTGATAAAATACAGTGGTAAAAACAGCGTGTGGCGAGTTGCGCCAGGCGAAAAATGTGCATGCAGGCTACCGCTTAAATATCATTGGAGCAGTTGGCAGGGATATGATATACAGTAACAGACCGCCGCGGCATCTTTTTCCACATAGCGCTAAAACTACTTCTGTCGAGCGCGCCGCTGTCTGTCAATGTACTCACTGTAAATGAATTTGATAAGAAAAATATCCGGCTCAACTAGACACCAACCACATCGACGACGGGTTAAAATAAATTCACTAAGCATGTTAGGAAAGTAAAACAGTTAACATACCTGGCGGGTGTAGAAAAGGTTGGGTATCTGGTGAGAAGGATAGGGAGCAACAGCACATGGGTTCCGTGAAATATACAAGCAAGGCATGAATAGCTGAGAAAAGTAGTCGTGAGCGGGGCAATCCACGCACCGCACGTTGGTCTCCTACGCTAATCCTTCTTCGTAAAATAGTCCGACTCAGATGAGATATGCCATCATATATACTTAACACTGCTCTCAACGACATTTTTCATGTATCCTTTACTTATTTTACTTGGAAATATTTGTAGTAAGTCTTTTAATTAGGGCAGTATTACATATAGTCCCTTTAATGCGGATTAATTTAAAACAGGTGCGATGACGTATCTTTATAGGTCAAAGTTCAAGCAGCCATGTGACGAATAGTGACCTTTTCAACATGGTGGAGCTGAAAGAGGAATTGCGGTTTTTAGAGGAAAATAAATGGCTCCACGGTTACAATAGAGCGATTGATGAAGTTGTTGCTAAAGAATTTGACAGGCTGGGAGGTTTGTTGATGCTTATGTGCCTAAAACTAAAATATTTTTGAATGAACATCCATAAAAATCGGTAGATATGCAGCGTCATTGCCTCTGTTTACATTTGTCTATTTATAAATAAATACTTCAAATAATTTAATCTGTTTGTATTCGGTCTTCCAAGCTATCGCCAAATTTCAGGCTTTATTCCCTTGCTCACCACTAAGCTGTCCTTGTTAACACCGTAGGGCTTGTATACATAGAGTTCAGTACTAGTAAGGTCCAAGTCAGATACTGGCATTTGTAGGGAGTGTGATGTCCACTGACAGGGTGGGGGAGCACTTGGACTTGTGACCATATGTGTAAGAAATATATCAAATGTATTGTTTTCAGCTATGCATCATCAGTCTGAATATTATCCAAAACTAGGTCTTCCTACATTGGTAGATCTTGGATTTTACTTGAGTAAAAAACATGGTGTTTCTCTTTGTGCTATAGGTGCAAAATGTGACTGATATTCAGTTATGGAGGAGAGGAGCCTAAGGTGTAGTGTACAAGTATGTACATTGTCTATGTGTATAGTTCATAGTATTACTTAATCCATGCATTAGCACCCCTATTTGTGTTTTCTGATATATACTAATGTGTTAACGCACAAAAGGTGTAAAGTGATGACCAGTTTGCACATCCACAGTGATGTAGAAGGTCTCAAACCATCAAGTTATCTCTCATCTCCTCAACCCCCTAAAAAGTTAACCAGTTTTCCCATTGACAGAGCCATCAGTAAGGTAAGATTCATCATTATGTCTATTAGTTAGGCTGTCGTGAAATTAAAAACCTCCAATTGAGAACCAAAAAGGTACTTCTGAAAGCGTGAGGTAGGTTAAGTAATGATCCAATACTTTTCCCATCAGAAAGCAACCTAGTGCACAGAATCATGTACAATAGAAGTTGCATGACCAGCATGATTGTTTGAGAGTTTGTTTCTGGTGAGAATCAATTTCTAATGAATTTCTTGTCTGTACGTCACCGCCATGTATTATTTTACAACGATCAACCTGGTAAACAGGGACAAACAGGGTGCAAATAGGCAGTAGACAAAGAAACTACTATGAAAGTGTAAAATTTTATATTGCAAGATTAAATGTTATAAATTGACAGTGTAACAGAGCCCAAAGTAATTGTAAATTGTAGCAAAAAATGCTGATTGCATTTAGAAAATGTTTCAACCTGCTTTAGACTCTAAACAGTGAAAAAAAAAGCCAACTGAATAAAAGAAGTATACTGCACACGTACAGGTATAGGCCTGTCATGATAAGTCTAGCTAGTAAGCCTACAGTACACGTGGCCTATACCCAAGGGATCTCCTTGAAATTAGAATTTTGACCAGCTGAATCATACTTCTTAACCATGCCAAGTGGTACTGTTAGCCCTTGAAAACAAAGATTTTTGGGCCCACAAGAAGGCCCCAAACCCCACTTCAAGGGGATAAAGGTCACCTTTGCATTTGAGGCCTATCATTCCTAAAAAACCAGACCCTCTCTTCAAATAATCCTGGATCATCCCCTGCAAACCTGTTGGTCATTCTTGTAGTGATTGTAAGTTTCTTCTTGATGTCTTAAATATCCCTTTTGCTTTTTGTGTCAGCACTAAAAATTTGGAATTTTTTGATGAAGAAATATCTTTGTTACAATAAAATGTCTATGTTACCGTGCTGTATCTAGTTACTGTTAACAGTGTGTCTACTCCATTTTTTGGAGACTATGGTGACAGCAGGGTTTATTGGCAGTGTTGCTTAAAATAACCGATCCCGTTTTAGTCATTCACCTTAAACTAAATAAAGATTTTCTGCTAAAATGCCATGTAGTTCATTTAGACTTGTTAGCAGTAGAACACCCAAAAATTAAGAAGACAGTATTAAAAAGACAAAAAAGTTCATAAATTCATAAGCTAAGCAATCTTACTTGTTTGAGTTCTGCTTGGATCCCCTGTCGATGTAAAGTCAGCTGCTGATGTAGAGCCACATTGTTTTTTTTTTTTTTTTTTTTTTTTTTTTTTTTTTTTTAGAAAGTCAACCTGAGTTTCTTCTAATCTTTATTGATATATGAGCTGGCAATATGGTGTCAATGAAATACATGTACCATTTAACTAACATCATGTGTTGATGTTATGATGAACAAATAATATTCATAATTTCAACTGCACAGCTCGCTTTCAACATTCAGAGAGAAATTGTGATTTTTAAATGTTCATAAGCCAAAGATTACCATAATTATTTCTTTTGATGTGCATTTTTTAAAATGTCCATTAAGAAACTTTTCTGTTTTGATTTCAGTTGCCTTTGGACAACCCATACTTTATTGCTGTCTCACTTTTTGTACAAACATTTCCATTAACCTCACTTTTCATTCTGCACAGCTGGCAGCATTACAGTTTTATTAGAAAACTGCAGGTGGAGTTTGATATTTTTGTACAGGAAGTTTAGATTCAATGTTAACACTTATTAGCAAAGTTTAGGTTACATGCTATGTGTGCAAATTGATATTTTATTAAGTTACCGGAACTGTTTCTCCCAGGTCTGGTTTAAGTCATCTGCAAAAGTGAGAAATATACAATCAATACTTATTACTTTTGAGTAGTTATGTGGATAGAGACTGGCAAATTTCATTGTTAATGGTAAAATTTAGAACTCATAAATAGATGTATAGATCATGATTTTCTCAATGGTTTTGGGTAGGGTATACCTTGGTAATTAATGGAAAACTGTGGAGATTTGCAGGATAATTTTTCTTTTTGAATGTCTAGCAAAGTTTTTTTATAGAAATGTCTTTGGCCCGATTCAGAATAGGGGACTACTAGTAACTAGTCCGAGGGCACAATATGGCGACCCACTACAAAGCTTGCCAGCTAATAGATACTAAATGTATATATCCCGTGGGGTAGTATACAAGTGGATCGGCCATATTTGACCCTCAGACTAGTTTAACCCCTATGCTGAATGGGGCTTTTTAGTTTAATGTTTCATGTGCCCCTTGAAGTACTCAAGTTTTCCAGGCTGTGCATATTCTATGTCACTTTAAAAAAACATATAAAAATGTTGTTTCACCCTGGTGTGATATATATATATATATATATATTTTATTTAGAGATACTTCTTATGTGAGCCGGAGAGTTTTCAAAGTTTCTAAAATGTGTTTAACTGGAAAATTTCAGGAGAAGCAGGGGGGAGGGGGGTTATCTTTGCTTGTTCTAGATTCTGATGTTATTTTTGTGAATTTTTTCAGACACAGTATATTTGGACCATGCTGGGGCCACCCTGTATTCCAAACAGCAGATAGAGAACTTCCATAAAGACTTGCTACACGGGGTGTATGGCAACCCTCATAGCAGGAATGCAAGTAGCTGCTTGACAAGTGACACCATCGAGCAAGTGAGATATAGGTATAGATTCCTGGTGTGATCATGCAACTGCACATGCCTGTGCTCACGGGCACGCACACGCACACGCACACGCACACACACACACACACACACACACATCTGTATTGGAGATACTTAAACTGATCCTGGTACCCCCTCCCATTCTCTCTCTCTCTCTCTCTCTCTCTCTCTCTCTTTCTCTTTCTCTCTCTCTCTCTCTCTCTCTCTCTCTCTGCTAAAAATGAAATCAGTTTAGTGCTGGGTAAAACTACTAGAATTCTCTACAGTAGAACACATGGCACTGAAAAGAGTGTCATTCTAATTTGTCTAATGGATGGAAGTTATCATTGTAATGGTGGATCCTCATACTTCACACTACTCTACATATTATGATGTCTGTCAGGCGATTTCTGTCACCTTCATCTGCACTTGGAGGTGCGTCATGTCAGCCACTGGCTGGACACTTTTGATGGCTCTATTTGTCAAGACAATATTTTGAACAAAAGAAGTTTAAGATTTGAGATTTCGAGATCATAAGCCCTTAGGACTATATTTCATTGACCTAAAAAGTTTAGTAGGTTTGTGGATGAAATATGTCCTCAGATGATAAAATAGATTACAAGGGATTTGACTACCTGGGCTGGTTGCTTTCTTTCTTGATCTTATCAAGGAGGGACCCCTTTTCTAAACTGTCACTTGAAAGACTGGTGGTTGCTTGTGCACATATAGAATAGGCAGTGGTATCATGAGGGGTCATTCTTTCTTTGTTTTTGGACAGTTTTAATTTGGACCATTTAAGTTCCACAATAAGAAAGTTTTCATTTTAGTGAAAGAGCTGGTTGAGCAGTCTCTCTTAGTACTAGTGTCCTATCCCTATTTGGCCAATTTTTGGTACAGTTACAATTGATGCAGAGGTTTCTAATGAACCCAAAAGAAAGAAAAAAGACTATGAAGCCCTTAACAGTATGTTTTTGTATATTCAGTATTGCCAAAAGTCCATAATTCACACTCATTTTATTTCAACAGTTTATGTTATAGGAGGGAGGGTGATAAAAAAGAAAAAAAAGAAACATTTCCTCTTTCCCTGCATTCTTAGTGGCCAAGTTGAAGTTGTCCTGACCTAGACAGACCCTAAAGAGTCTGCACTGAGGACAGGATTACAAATTGTTCAGCTCAGACAACAAACCTTTTGTAATCAATTTTGCCGTCTGCCAACACTCCTGAGCTACAAAGCAGGCTTCTCTTTATAACTCATTCAAACATATCCCCGTAAGTAAGAAAAATGCCTTGTTCTTCAATCTCAACACTTCTTTTCAGAAAAGAGTTCTAAATATATACTTGACAAATTCAGCCATCAAAGCTGTCCAGCCATGCACTGCTCTGATATGTTGGGTTTTCAACAAAAGACCTAAAAAAGGGGGCACAATTCTTTACCAAAATAGTAGGGAACTGTTTTGCATGAGGTATTAACTGCTGTTTTGATTGACCTTACACCAAATCTGTCTCATAGAAATGTACAACAAAATATATATTGCAGTCGCATTTAAGTGTAAACTTGCAGGTTGTACTTATTCAAGGGATAACAACTGTTCATTTTGGCCAAAAAATGGGGTTTTCTTTTGGTAAATGTTAATTTCCACATACTGACCAATGGTTGATGAATCTTTTCTGACATTCAAAGTTATGGCCCCTCTTTCTCTCTCCCCCCCTTTCTCTCTCTCTCTCTCTCTCTCTCTCTCTCTCTCTCTCTGTGTGTGTGTGTGTGTGTGTGTGTGCGTATGTATGTTTGTGATATGATAATCTTTAGTTAGCAAGTGGTCAGACTTCAATCAGATATTTTGTTCACTCGGGTATCAGTTGAAGAAATCTGTGTCTCTATTCAAGGTGATAGTATCAAATGTGTACAAAGTGTCAGTAATGAAAAGAAACATTTTACCTGCTTAGTGCTTCACGGTATGTGTAGTTTCACTGACAGTTGCACTTTGTCACTCAGCACGTACTAGCAGGTACAATATATTATAACAGGTTCTATCTCTATTCTTTGTTTCGAAAAAAACAAAGCCTGTGTTTGTTATACAACAAAGACTACTTATTGTATAACATACATCTAAAATGGAATGCTATTTTTTCTTGCCCTGCTTTAACTTGGGTGCAGTGTTAATCCTTGGCATTTTAACACTAAAGTTCATTTTGTGGTAGCTAAATCTATTGCAAACTATATGGAAAGTTAGGTAATTGTGTCATTATGAATGGGGATCACTAGAGGTAACCCAGTCTCATGACTTATATAGTTTAAAATCAAGCGAGATTTTGTTGAATTTGGAGGAGAGTGGGGTCAAATATAATTTGGTAAACTGGCTAGTGCAGTGCAACAATGACTAAGAGATGGGGAATTTTTTCAACATACATTTTTCTGGTTGTTTTTCTCTTATGTTCACAACCCTATGAATTTATGATATTTGTAGAGTGTCACCTTTGCATTGCTTTATAAGACATACATTTCAAAGCGTATACAGCTTCAACCTCATCACTACAATGTAGCTCTCACTTCACGCAAATTGAGAAAAGCCTGTCTGTTGACACAATAATTATTAATTGGTGTCTGTGATTAATATTGGTAGTGTGTTTTGCACAAGATGGCACCACAATATGTAGCTTCTGAGAGTTCCATACATAAGTTACTGAGATTGGAAGTAGACATGGTCATACAGTTATCCTGTGAAACCCTCAACTTGCTATCTGGTCAGCTAGTGATGTCATTCTATTCAGTTTGTTACCGGTTTGCGTGAATCCTCACAATCATTAGTGGTGCTGTTGTTAACAATTTTTGGTATTTTTGTACAGTTTAATTTTCTTTAAAACACCAATTTTTGAGGGTGTTTTTTTGTGATTTTTTAACTATTAAGAATACAACTTCAAATTACCAACAGTTTATTTATATAGCTTATGCATATTTTCAAATGACGGCCAGCATATTTTCCTTGTCACACTAAAGCTTTATTAATGTATTTTCAGAGTTTTGGATTTTTTCAACACCAATTCCAATGAATACAGCGTGATTTTCACACCTGGCTGCACAGCTGCACTCAAACTACTCAGCGAAACGTTTGATTTTACAAATGGCGTCTGCCAGGCTACCGTATCAAGTCGATGCCAGTCAAGCGCAGCAGGCATCAAGAAGCCTAATGCTGGCCAACCTGCGTCTGAGAGGAGATTTCCTGAAAACATGAAGAATACCAAGCTTCACATAGTAAGGGAGGATGCATCACCATGGCAACACAGGGCTTCTGGTCTGACAGAAGTACCAAGTTTATTGAGGCCTCATGAAGATAGAGGTCAAGATGGAGATACCAACATTTTCTTGACAGACGACCTCCAAGATTCTCAACAGGATATGACCAATCAAAAAGCCTCTCTGGTCAAGAGCGGGATTGTAAAGAAGCCGTCTGTTTGCGCTGGTTATACTTGTTCTCAGCATGTTCAAAGTGATGGCTGTAATACCTCTGGCGCCAGTGATGAATTACGCAGTGATGACAAGACCATATCAAAGCCGAAAGAGGGCCCTACGCACAGGTGTGAGATAGCAAGCACCATCTCCACTACAGATCAGAGTTATAACAGGAAACTTGAATTATCTGATTTGATTTACTCAGGNTTGTGTCATTATGAATGGGGATCACTAGAGGTAACCCAGTCTCATGACTTATATAGTTTAAAATCAAGCGAGATTTTGTTGAATTTGGAGGAGAGTGGGGTCAAATATAATTTGGTAAACTGGCTAGTGCAGTGCAACAATGACTAAGAGATGGGGAATTTTTTCAACATACATTTTTCTGGTTGTTTTTCTCTTATGTTCACAACCCTATGAATTTATGATATTTGTAGAGTGTCACCTTTGCATTGCTTTATAAGACATACATTTCAAAGCGTATACAGCTTCAACCTCATCACTACAATGTAGCTCTCACTTCACGCAAATTGAGAAAAGCCTGTCTGTTGACACAATAATTATTAATTGGTGTCTGTGATTAATATTGGTAGTGTGTTTTGCACAAGATGGCACCACAATATGTAGCTTCTGAGAGTTCCATACATAAGTTACTGAGATTGGAAGTAGACATGGTCATACAGTTATCCTGTGAAACCCTCAACTTGCTATCTGGTCAGCTAGTGATGTCATTCTATTCAGTTTGTTACCGGTTTGCGTGAATCCTCACAATCATTAGTGGTGCTGTTGTTAACAATTTTTGGTATTTTTGTACAGTTTAATTTTCTTTAAAACACCAATTTTTGAGGGTGTTTTTTTGTGATTTTTTAACTATTAAGAATACAACTTCAAATTACCAACAGTTTATTTATATAGCTTATGCATATTTTCAAATGACGGCCAGCATATTTTCCTTGTCACACTAAAGCTTTATTAATGTATTTTCAGAGTTTTGGATTTTTTCAACACCAATTCCAATGAATACAGCGTGATTTTCACACCTGGCTGCACAGCTGCACTCAAACTACTCAGCGAAACGTTTGATTTTACAAATGGCGTCTGCCAGGCTACCGTATCAAGTCGATGCCAGTCAAGCGCAGCAGGCATCAAGAAGCCTAATGCTGGCCAACCTGCGTCTGAGAGGAGATTTCCTGAAAACATGAAGAATACCAAGCTTCACATAGTAAGGGAGGATGCATCACCATGGCAACACAGGGCTTCTGGTCTGACAGAAGTACCAAGTTTATTGAGGCCTCATGAAGATAGAGGTCAAGATGGAGATACCAACATTTTCTTGACAGACGACCTCCAAGATTCTCAACAGGATATGACCAATCAAAAAGCCTCTCTGGTCAAGAGCGGGATTGTAAAGAAGCCGTCTGTTTGCGCTGGTTATACTTGTTCTCAGCATGTTCAAAGTGATGGCTGTAATACCTCTGGCGCCAGTGATGAATTACGCAGTGATGACAAGACCATATCAAAGCCGAAAGAGGGCCCTACGCACAGGTGTGAGATAGCAAGCACCATCTCCACTACAGATCAGAGTTATAACAGGAAACTTGAATTATCTGATTTGATTTACTCAGGACCAGAAGGAAATATTGATTGTAAATTGGAGTCCTCAGATTTGCTACCTAATGTAAACTCTGATCAGAGCCATGCGGTAGATCTTGAATCAAAAGTCAGTAGTTTGAGGGAGGGTAGCTCAGAATCCAGACAGACTTTTAATGAAGAGCCGGAGGAAACTGTAGCTCTTGAACCAACCATGAGCGATATCAAACTAGTTGAAAACCCCATTAGAACTGAGGCAATGCCAATTTCCGGGGAAGAGTGCCAAAAGGTCACAAGCACTTGTTCATTAGAAAGAAGCAGCAAGTCCGTTTTGCTGCAGACATCCTCACAACATGGGGTAGGCATACCTGGAAAGTCAAGGATTATTAGCGAAGATAAGGTATCAAATGAACAGGTGTCCCAAGGTGTTATGCACTCAGACTCCCGGGGTACACCTGGGGATCAGGTTATGAATCTATCCCAGCATGCAACAGCAGATTTCGGGGTGACCCAGTGGGGCTGCTTCTGCTATCTTGCCCAAAATCACACCTCCGTCATAGGAATGCGGGAGATTGTTGCAGAGCGAGGGGCACATCTCTTGTGTGTCAGTGAGAAGGAACTTTTGAAGCCGGCTAGTAAAACATCCCAAAATGGCAACATGTCTGCTCATAAAACTGTCACCGTAACTACTCAAAGGAATGCACCCAACTGTTTATTTGCATACCCTGCCCAGTGTAACTTTTCAGGGAGGAAGTATCCGTTAGTGTGGTTGGATAAAATAAAGAATGGTGAATTAGAACTGACAGAACACCACCCTGGCAACTGGTTCACTGTTTTAGATGCAGCCTCATTTGTGAGCACTTCCAAGTTAGACCTCCAACTACACAGCCCTGATTTTGTCACCTTGTCATTTTACAAAATATTTGGCTTTCCTACTGGTATAGGTAAGATATCTATATGTAACAAGAAGGAAGCCATGTTGGTATGAGATGTAGTGGCTGCTCCAGAATATCAATAAGCCCCTGTCTACCTCATCACCTGCTAACTCCCCCCCCCTCCCCCACAAAAAAAAAAGAGAAAAAAGTCCAAATGCACCTTTGTGTATCTCTTTTTTCTCAGTCAACAACTGCACTATTATAGAGAGTGATCAAAAGAGGATTGCCCTAGATACAAAGGCAAGTCATTAGTGCAAATTGCCACAGAATGCTTTCATATGTAGTTTGTTTAAATAGTAGGAGTGATGTGAAAGGATTTTATTCAGTTCGAGTGGGAAATTAATCAGCTTCATTACAAATAACCTGTTCTAATACTGTTAGGTTGTTGCTATATATCATCTGTTCATCTGTCTGTCTCTATATTTAGTCCTGTTGAACACTTTCCTGGAGGGTTGCCCAGGGCAATGAACTTGGGTAAAAACTTGAAAATTTCATCACTTAGAAATTAATTCATATTTTAAAATGCTTGAATTTGACATGACCATATTAGTTGACAAACCTTTCAAAATTATCAAGAGGCCCATTTTCAAGTTTGATAAAATTTTCAAAGTGAAAAAAATAATGCCAGCAGAGAATTGTCTTCCAACAAAAATTTCAAGATCAACTAAATTTTCATGTTTTTACTGTAACTTGTCGTTGTTTTGTGTTGACTGTCTGCTTTGGGCTTTCCAGGGCATTTTGTCACAGACTCTTGCCATGGTTCTGGTTTAGCAAAGTAGTTGGGGTGTTTTAATGTATTGTAGATAGGGTTCTGCTACGTAAAGATGGTGGTATATGCCCATTAGGTGGTGTTATATACACTCCCATGTACAGTTAACTAGTTTTCAATCACTGCCCATTTTGACAAGAGAGTATTTTGATAACATGGTATATCATCTTAAAAGGATTGCATGTTTATGAACTGAACTTGGTGCTGAAATAACAGGAATATCATTTGTACATTTTAACGTTAAAAAAAATTAAGTGTGTCTGCAAACTGGATAATGTCAACAAGTTTCTAAAATTACATCTGACATTTTTACTCAAGAGGAAGTGAACCCAACACGTGTGTGTATATGTTTTTTATGACATTGTAATTGCTCTGCAGGTACGTTTCAATTACAGAAAGTTGAAAGTCATTCTGTGCAAGAATTTGTTTTAACACAGGGCTTGTTTATTGTGCAGTTGTGACAGCCTGTCTTAGAACAAATATTTCTCAGCAGATCTTGATTGCAACCTTTTGTTATAAGCCATTCGTATCCGTAGACACAGCGCTAGGTGTAGCTTGGTACCTTGAGGCTTATTCCCAATGAAACACATGTTCCACCTAGATCGATCTAACTCTGTGGGGACTCTCATTGAATTCAATCAGATTAACAGATTCATGTGTCTCCTACTGAATGTGAGTCATCATCATCATCATTCCTCTTCATCCCGTGTGGGACATGAGGTCACTTCTTTCCATTTGGCCCTACCTCTGGCTATGTGCTGGGCCTGTCCCCATGTGAGGTCCCACTGAATGTGAGTAGAATAAAGAAAAGCTGGTGAAAATGCGAATACGTTAGAAACAAGAGAAGGCTTCTTTATCTTATAATCTGAAATCTGACTGTATTCAGTGAGAGTCCCCAGAGAGTTGGATCAATCTGTGTAAAACAAAAATTCCATTTATGGTGAGGACATCAATCGGATAAGACAGGCTGCCTGAATTTAGATAAACCTTGTAATAATTTGGTTTTCTAAGATATGGTGTTGAGTTAAACCAGTGTAAATGGACTGTTAATTCACCTATGTGAAGTCAAAAGAGTAAACTTGGTTTCTTCAAAGCAAACTTGTACTAAAATGTATGTTGTAGTGTACATTTATTGATTTTGTAATTTACTATTCATTGGTAAAGTTTATAATAAATTTTTATGGGTTTTCTTTAAGAGCACATGTGGCCATAGAGTTGGGCATGTGGCTGGGAATATCTCTCTCACCTGTGTTGCAATTTAATCTGAAACAAACATCTTATATAGTAGATATTTCCTTTCATTGACAGGTTTGTGTCTTTTAATTCATGCCACATAAAGAATTTATCAAAGTATTATATATATAAGCATTAGATGCTCTTGTATGGTAGGGCTGGGGAGTAGACTGAAACCCAGGGAAGTGGATATGGGAAATGTACTGGGAAACCTAATGTGGTAGGGATACACAGCATACTGGGAAACCAAGTGTGGTAGAGATAGGCAATTTACCGGGAAACCAAGTGTGGTAGAGATACGCAATATACTGGGAAACCAAGTGTGGTAGAGATGGGCAGTATACTGGGAAACTTAGGGTGTTAAAGGTAGGAATTTGAAATGTCATGCCCGTTACCCCTTAACACATGCTCTTCTCAGTGGGTCTTCACTGGCAGAGAGTTGCTGTCACCAAACTGACCCGGTCAATTATTACATAGTATCTGTATACTATGGGCTTCCTTATTTTCTAATGCTTCAGTGCAATACCCGGGCAAAACATATTGAAAGCATTATTGGTTCAGAAGTGCAACTGAAAAAACAGTCACAAACAATTAATGCTGTAATGGTGATATTTCTCCCATAAAAAAGTGGTACGCTTCATGTACAGGGGAATCCAGATATTTGGAGCATGTTTGTTTGTTTGTTTGTTTGTTTGTTTGTTCTTCATAATAACAACTGCCATTATAATCTTTAAGTTATTTTTCCTTCTTTTTTGTACTTACTACATAAAAGAATTAAAAGAAGATATTTCAATTAATTTGATAACCTGAAATTTTTCTACATTTCACAATTCATGAATCTGTGAAGATCTATTAAACTTTTAGCAAAAAAGAATTAAAAATCTGATGCAAATGAAGTTTAATTTTGAAGATAATGAGTAATCAGTTTTAAGTTGGCATATTAAGTATTAAAAGGAGGTCTTATCCATTTAATATTTGTATCTTTTTATAATGTATGTTGTATACTGTATTTTTTATATAGAAAGCCTATAAATGTAAAAACATATTTGTGTTTACTAAATTATTAAGAATTAAGGTTGTTTACAGAATTAATGCAGTCATGATTTAAAAAGTATTATTATAATTATTATTATTATTATTATTATTATTATTATTGCCAACAGGTGCTCTCCTGGTCAAGAACACATCTGCCCACACCCTGGACAAGAGATATTTTGGTGGCGGTACAGTGGCTATGAGTCTGCCTGGAGAGAGAACACATGCCATCAGCCCTGATCTAGCTCAAAGGTTGGTAACACATTGGATTTTTTATATTAATATTACTTTTCATCTTTATTCCTTACTGTACTTGTTAAATGATAATGTAGGTAATGTCTTCCTTGTGAGGCCACAAAGTTATTAGGAAAAAGTTAGCACATTATCTCAACTATATGTGCAATAATTCCTAAAACACTTGTATAGAATGGCTGTATGTGATCAGTATATGATACACGGGGATGAGTGGACTAATAGAGATACTTCAGAATTGTAGTTTTAAATTATCATTGTGGAAGACGACCTAAACCAGTTTTCTCCCTAAACGATGTCTACCAGTGTAACAGTAACATGACCAGCGTCTGTTCACTTCTCCAGACAGAGGGCTGGTGTGAGGAATTTGTAGAGGTTGTTATTCTACGTTGTAACTCCTCAATTTTTTTACTTGTTAAAACAGTTGAAACTGAAGAAAAGATTGGAAAACAGCAAAAAAAGGAGAACAGACAGTAATTGTCAAAGTACCAGTTTACAAGTTCCTAATTACATTTTTTCTTTCATTTTTTTCTCATTGAATTGTTTTGTATATTTTTTTCTTGTTTTGTCTGACAAGTCTTTCTGCCTGCCCTCTCATCAGTATCCTAACTGACTCGTATAATAAGAGAGAGGAAACTTTGACCTTACATCTTGTTTCAGAATAAAACATGCTTGTTCTTGTCAATTACAATCAGTTTTACAATATAAGTTACCCTGCGAATGGGTTGTACTTTGAACATTGTAAAATTCCTTTTAATATAGTTGATTGGGACTTCTAGATTTTCCAGATTGAACAGATATTTTAGATTTTCATTACAATTCCATTTAAGAAGAGAAGCAATAAAAATGTTACATAATCATTATAATAATGTTGTAATAATTAAAATTTTGTAAAACGTCCAAATAGTTAATTGGTTTAAGTCAGATATACCCATCACTAAAAGGGTGGCATAAATAATGAATAATTTAGAAAAATTAAATGACAGGAAGAAATGTGAAGGGATAATTTTGTAGGTAAATACTGTAAGTTAGGAAGTGCTGGGTGAGGAGGAAAATGTGGTCTAATGTTGAGATTGTGTTAGGTGTGATGGCAATGCAGTATATTTGTTATAATGATGGTCATAGAAACCCATATTTGTATGCACACTGGTAAATTAAAACCAGTACACTTAAACTGAAAACGGTAAGTTGTCAATTTCTTGGGCGAAATAAAGTTGGATTACTTGGTATTTAGAATATCCTCATTAACTCCTTAATATATAGCAGTTGTATGAGTAAGCTTACAGGGATAATAACTCTTCGTATGAGATCTATATTTCACAATAAAAACATTATGAACAAATCATAGAAATATAATATCTTCTGTTTTACCTCAAAAACAGCAGTTATAGCTATTATTCTGATATCTGAGCTTGTTTATAGACCATGTGACCTCTATTGATGGCTATACTCTGTTATAATCTCTTAAGAGATTCTAACAAAAAAAAAGAAACTTTTCAGAAAAAAAAACCAGGGACTAACTTTGAATGTAAAAATGGATTAATTAACCATTGGTAAGTATGGGAAAATTGTTGTTTACTCCAGGAAAATTCATTTAATATTATCCCTTTAACGGCCTTAAATTTGCATCTGATAGCAAGAATATGTCAGAAGAATTAACTTGTATAACTCTGATTACTTTCTTGTTTTCTAGATTTGAAGATGGCACTGTCCCATTCCTGGACATTATAGCCCTAAGACATGGATTTGATGCCTTAGATAAACTAACAGGTACATACTTTACCATTATATGGTCATTTACCCATCATTACTGAGAGCACTGGAGTATCCGAAACATCAAGATGAGTGGGTAAAAAGATTTTCCAAATTCCTTCTCTCCCTCTGAAGTTATGTTTGTTAAAAATGTGCTGTGATTTGGGACACTTTGCAGTGTTTGTATGCATGGGCCTCTGATCATTTTTTTCTGCTTTTTGTGGGGGTGGGGTGGAGGAGAGGTGGGGGGCAGAATCCATCATTTTGTTCTGAAAAAGGAGAAAGAGGAGTGAAAAGATAATTCATACCCATTCTGTTCCATGGTTCCAGGTGGAATGGACGTAGTGTCCAGTCACGTCTTCTCTCTGGCTAGGTACGTCCACCACCGTCTTGTCTCCTATCGCCATGGCAACGGGACCCCAGTTGCCAAGCTCTACTCAGACATGGACTATGAAGATATCGACGCACAGGGCGGGATTGTTAATTTCAATCTCCTCCGAGCTAATGGTGACTATGTGGGATTTGCCGAGGTACGACATCCTTTTTACTGCCGTTTATATCCTAAAAATGGCTGTTTATTCAAATCAAAATTTTGAGTTTGTTTGACATTGCTGTATTGATTTTGATTATCATAAGAATTTTGAAAAACATAATATTTAAAGAAATGAAATTGAAATGAATTGACATAAAAATGATAGCACTACGTCATTTTTCAGGTTAATAAAATGGCTCAGCTGTATAACATAGAGATCAGAACAGGCTGTTTCTGTAACATTGGTGCTTGTCAGTACTACCTGAACCTGACATCTGCTCAAATAAAGGACAATTACCAGGTGAGCGTGTTATTATCCTAGTATTGGTGCTAGCAGGACCGACACCATACTAACCTGTCCATAGCTGATATTGAATTTATTTTTGTGTTTGGCATTTATTTTTAAAAAAAACTTTATTAATTTAATTCGTATTCATATTCATTGTGATGAAATTACTCAAGTTGAGGCCCTGTCAAAATATTTTTTTTCTAACATAAAGAGAATCAATCATGCATGTATATTTGAAATATGTACACTGGTTTAAAGTTATTTGAAACAAATTTTACTTTCTCAATTCAACTTATAATGTTAAAAACAAATGTTTTGCTTTTTAGTCTGGTCATGTGTGTGGGGATGACAAAGATCTAATCAATGGAGTCCCTACAGGTAGTGTTCGGATCTCTTTCGGGTACATGTCAACATTTCGTGATGCAAGAAAATTCCTGGACTTCATCGAAAATTGCTTTGTTGAGGCTGAACCACAAATGGTGCCAATAAATTGTGGAAGTGGCCATCAGGGGATGTTACGAAATAATAGCAATCCCAGCCAAAACGGGGATCTCCCACCAGCAGAATTCTCCCCTTCACTTAACAATCAAAATGAATCTTCAGTAATTGGTGCTACATCTGATTGTGATAGGCTCTATGCGGGTAAACAAAAAGTATTGGGACAAAATAACGATCAGTCATTTCTCTGTGATAAACCAATTGATAAAACAAAATCTCTAGTCTTTTCTGAGGAAATACCCAAAAGTCAGCCTTTACAGCAAGCAGGGTCAAATTCTACTGCACTGGAATATACAAATGCATCTTTTAGGTCAAGTTCCCCTTTACAGGACTTTATTGTAAATGACAAAGTGCAATCTAACACTAGCCTGTCCACTGGGGAAAATGAGAAGGACTTATTGGCAACCAAGAGTGGTGTTGTAGACAGACAGCTTGTAGTACCTGTGTTGGGTTGCATGGAGATGACTCTGAAATTATCCACCGATACAGAGCAAACCGAAAGGGAAAAAAATGAGTCCTCTTCCCTCGACCCTGTATTACTAACTATTTCTGAAAGGAACAGTTCCAGGGTAGAGGCAGTTCCAGATTTCTCAGATGGAGAAGATGGACCCAACAAGATTCTGAAACGTATCTTCTTGTATCCTGTGAAATCCTGTGCAGCATATGAGGTTAGACTTTTTTTTTTGTTGTTCAGTTGTCAGTAATAAGTTTCAACAAATGATTTGACAATGAAAATGTATCAGTCACATATAGACACATTTGCGTCCTGAAAGTACTTTATTTACAGATTTCTATTTTGGTAACATTGTCATTCTTCTATTGTAGTGTCGCTATATCCTAAAAGTGTCCATAAAGGTGGCACAGGTCACCATAACAACTGCCATTAAAGACATCATGAGTGTCACAGTATCATTGTCATTGTCCTGATAGTCATTACTGTTATTGTAACAGAACATTGTTACATTGTCATCATCATGGTTAAGGTGTCACTACCAGATCAGTATGTACTACTGTTATTGTTACTGTCACAGTCTCTATATGATAAAAGCTACTGTGGTTGCAGGTATCTGAGTGGGAGATAGGGCCCAAGGGGTTTCTCTATGACAGGCACTGGATGATTGTATCAGAGAGTGGAGTGTGTCTAAGCCAAAAGAGGGAGACCAAGTTGTGCCTCATTAAACCAAAAATTCTGCTCCATGAAGAAGTGCTTGTTCTTAATTTTCCAGGTGAGTGTTATTGCTGGGCTCTTGCTGACAGGAATTTGTCATATATTTAGTTATGTCATATGGTTAGTCACTGTGATATTAGTTTCAGTTGGTTGGCTTACATAAGGGAACATATTATGTGAGTCCTGAAAATGTATTTATATACATGATGTGTTTTATAAATTCTCACATTTAACAGAAAGTTAAGTGTTGTGAAGTGTGTCCTTGTTTGATTTCAGGTCTCCCATCAGTAAGAGTTCCACTCATCCAAAGTGACTCCAACACAGTAGACTTGAAAATGTGCCATAGTAAAGTTTGTGGAGACAGGTGAGGCATACCATTGTGGTGTACAGCATATGAGTATTGAGAACGAGACTGGGATTTAGAAAAAAATCATACAAAGAGTTTATTTGAACGCAAAGGATAACTGAAAGTGATGTGTTCTCAGACCAGTTCTATAGAATAAATTTTGTGATAACAGGATAAAGCAAATGCTCAACTGCAAAATGTAATTTCTTGTATTCTCAAACATCTCAGAATTGAAGGCCTAGATTGTGGAGAGAAGGCAGCTCACTGGCTAGCACAGGCTCTGGGTAAACCAGGTTGTCGACTTATACAGCAGTATTCTGAGGACACAAGGACTTCAAAATTACTTCAAGAAGGTAGGAGTTTCAGTTACTAGTATTACTCTTCTTTTTAAGTTTTTGCATATTATTTCTTGAAAAGTTGTCTCAAAAGTGAAACTTTTGTTTGTACATATGGTAAAATTAATCAAGTAAAATAAAGCTCATCTGGTTGCTTGACACTGCAAACAATTTTGGTGAGTTTTTTAAGGTTGCCAAAATATAATTGGCCCCTAGATTGATTTTAATTTGCAAATTTCCTTTAAGATGGTGCTGGTGATGCTCAGCTTTCCTTGGCCAATGAGTCCCAGTTTCTCCTGATCAACAGAAACAGTGTTTTGGATCTTATGGACAAGGTTGCAGAGAGAAATCTGTACAGTTTGGACAGTGCAGTAAGAACAACTGAAGTACATGGTAAATCATTATTGTTAATGATGTCTTGTTTTTACCTTTTTGACTAAAACTTGGTTTACTATGTCATCTACAACTTGAAATTTGTATAATACTGTTGAAAACCTCTTGAATAATTGAGCTACTTCTAAACCCTGGATCCCTGTAATAAATTTATAGTTGTCCAGTTAGATTTGTGGGAGTAAAATGCTACATGTTTGTTTTTTGTCAGTTAAAACATGTTTGCCATTTTCCACTTCAGATGTTGAAGCTTATGTCTCTCGCTTCCGTGCTAACTTGGTGGTGGATGGAGTAGAAGCTTTCCAAGAAGATGATTGGACAAAAGTTCAAATAGGGCAGCATGTGTTCCTGGTAAAATGTTGATTATTCTCACATGCATGATTGAGCCTTCACGAATACCTTATGTTTATTATTTTCTGCACACATCTTATATTTTATCAAAGTTAAATCAGAGGAACTTTAAAGTTCAGAATTAAGAAGAAAAAAGAATGGTCATTCTTGACACATGTCAAAAAGATATGAAGTATATTTAAAAAAACATTTTTTTCAAAAGTTCATGCACGATGGTGATTTCGCTGTTAATCATTTTAATTCATCAAAATTGACAAAAATCATATTTTTCTGCTTTACGTCAGTACAGTTGACAGCTTTGCTGCTTCTTTTGAAATATGGATTTGTTTTTCATTACCATGGCCATTGACATAAAAACAACACCAAATGATGAGTTTAAAGAATTTAACATTTGACATAAAAAGTATGTTTTGTCCTCCTTAGAGCCAAGGTTTATGCAGCAGGTGCCAGATGGTTTGTGTGGACCAGAAGACAGGAAACCGGTCCAAAGAACCACTGAGGACACTTGCCACATTCAGAGGAAGAAAGGTGTGTAGGCTCATGATGGATATTTAAAAATGTTTCTGTTACATGTATTATTTCTTCTTCTTCTTCTTGGTTGTCTGTCGTGTGGCAGGTTTAGCTTCTCCCACTCGATCCATCTCGATCTACAGCCCTTCGTTTGATCTCACCATAACTTTCTGTTCTGCTGTTTTCTTTCTTCTTACGCCAGGGGCTGAACATTGCCATTCTCTGCATTCTTTTGCCTCTTTTACCATTTAACCGTGCTCCTTTTATTTGTCAGATTCCTTTTGGGATTCATCTGCAGCACCAGCCTAACCAGTACCAAAGTCTCACTGTGAAGATAGGAGACCCAGTGTTACCATCAGTGTCACTGTGAAGATAGGAGACCCAGTGTTACCATCAGTGTCACTGTGAAGATAGGAGACCTAGTGTTACCATCAGTGTCACTGTGAAGATAGAAGGCCCAATGTTACCATCAGTGTCACTGTGAAGGTTGGAGACATAGTGTTATTAAGAGGCTAATGCTATAACTGATACATGTACGTTGGTGAATAGTGCTAAGTTCCATAATAACACACACTGAGGAAGTGTGAATTAAATTGTGAGGTTGAGCTTCCAATTTGTGTAGAAAGTGAAAAGTTTAACTAAGAGTCATTATGATAAGACTGAAATAATACATGAAATGTTTAATTTTGAAAATTTTGTGTATAATATAATATAATAAAACATGACAATATAAAATGTCTATAAGTGTTATTTTTTCTTTGAAGACATAATATTCTGTATAGTGCATAACATTCTTCACGTGAAAATTTCCAGCAATAAATGCTTTACAAGGTTTTTTGTGACACCGAGATCCCGTGGCAGAGTTTCAGTTTCATCTTTTCTATCAGGGGTACCAATGACTTAATCTTTTATTAGCTTAGCTTTCTCTCTTTTCGCTATGGACGTTGAGGCAGAGGAGGTGGTCGCATTATTATTATTATTATTATTATGAAATAGCCTTATATTTCAATGAAAAAGAGGTTTATACAAGTTTCATCAAATCAATCTCCGCAAAATTAAGTCGCTCCTCAGAGGGTCAATATCTTTTTGGAATGTTTTTAGACTTCATTTCATTAACTTTACAGGTTTTACATACTTCGGAATGGTCACGTAAATATATTGAAGCTTGAACTCATTTTGAATTTTCAATAAATGCAATTCGAAAGCTACGCGAAATGTGATTTAAAAAAAGAAATATGATTAAACTACCTACATTCCAAAGATTGTCACAGTATTCCGCTTTTAAAACAGATTTACTGACTACCAGTGCGGAGTAGAATTTTTCTTACTTATTAACTATTATTTCTGTAGTAATTTGTATAACATTTTGCCATTATGCATTTATTGTAAATATCCAGATAGCAAGAAGTCGTCAAGCTGACTGCAAGTGTCAGCTACGAAATTAATCCGATGCGCCGCTAACGAGGACAACGCCGCCGAACCGATTACGGGTCGCTGTCGCTGGATAGGAATTAATTCTCTTTATAGAGAATCGTTTAAAGTGTGACAAGTTATTAATTTTTTTAATGTTCTTTAAAGGTTGATTTAGAGTTTAACAAGTGATAAAAGAAATGTATATATATTAATTTTGTTATAGGTAACTGGAAATAACGTTTTGTAATCGTTCTCTTCTTATTTAATGATGTTATCTATAGTTGATTATTTTCATTTCTTTTAATAAATCATTTTGTAAACAAGTTTTGTCTTTACATTTGTTATGAGTACACAAGTGAATCGGATTTCTTTCACTATTTGCTGTCGAATAAGCCGCCGTTAAAAGTTCATTTACGGGATTTAGAAAAAGCCCAAAAAGGCTATTTTCGGGTTGTTACCTTTCCCGGTCACAAATGCCACTCTCCGCGTCTTAACTGGAACCCAGGTTTGGACAAACACGTCGGTTTCCTCTTTGTTTTCTGATTGGTGACGTTGTTTTTAACATATTTATTTTTTGTTTCTGATACATATAGTAACCCGCTATTCTGTCTTTTAGACCCTTGTCTCATTTCTTGCGCGCCCAACATACCTTCATCTTTGCTAAAATACAAATCTAGGAACTGAAAAACAATTCCCAATTCTTTCGTGTTTTATTCGTCAATTTCACATTACACACGACCTCCACTTTGTAACACTGAACGCTTGATTTATTAATCAGAGTCTGTCGCCATAAATCAGCGCGAACAAAGCCAGTTCTCCGTCTTGCCACCCGATGTGTGATTGATAGGTTAAGGAATTAAAAATATAACTGATGCACTTTCCGGGGCAGGATGGGGTTAAGATTTAAGGCCCTTGAAAGGAGTGATTAACTCAATTACACAGGTGTTGCTCGTTCTGGGCCACACACGCTCAGATATTATCTTCCGCATGTATCCGAAGTGTTCCTTTCAGTAAGTCAACAATAAATTCGATTTTGCTTCAAGTGGGTTTTGGAAAATTCTTGACCTTAATTTAAGGTGTTTGACCGTGAAGTAGATACAGAGGACTCTGAATGTTCGCACACATGTTCAGATTCGCGTGCCAAGACGGCATAGGCACATGTTTTAATGAGGTATACTACTCGGAGCGTATATAAATGTACAAAAACTGTATTGCACGCATGTATGCTTTATGATGATCAGTTTCCAGTCCCTTCGGGCTTGAACTTTTTTTCTTATCAAGACAAAACAATACACCGCATAATTTGAGAACTACATGTATCTTTGGCAACCAGTGGCGGATTCATTAATTCACGCTGGAACAGGATCTTTAACACCCAACCCACCATCCTGCAGGAAAAATATCAATATCTTTTAAGAGAACATACTAGTCTTTTTACAATACTTATATTAGGGCATACAGTCGGGTCTCCCTTTCTTTTGAGAAGGGACTGATGATCCGCCATTTTGCTTTGGAAATGGGGCGGGCGTAGGGGGAGGGAGGGGGGTATAAGCCCTGAGTTTCCACAACGATAACGCTAACCACGACAGCACATAAATGATTTTTAAAGATAAATAAATAAAAAATATTTCCTTTGGAACTTATTCCTCTGTATAGATTCTTGTCCTAGCACCTAGTGAATCTAGATTTTTCCGTTGTTCAAGACATTTACTAATTAAAACTGGTAACCTCGAAGCGATTGACAAGCTATCAAAATTAATTTTGATATTAACAAAAAACAAGCAGAACCAGTTCTGGACATATTTAATGGCGTCACGGTAACCGGACAGTCACCAGCCAAGCAACAGGCCCAGTCTAGGGCATACATATCATCAGTTTATCCTCAGTTTATCATCTTTTGCGGCAAAAAGAAACGGCACGAACACCACAAAGGCGAAGATGCCGCAGTCAGATATTATTCCAATCAATTAACAGGTGTTTACAAAATTTTTGGCCCACGGTAAAATTCGCAATGAAATTACAATAAGTGCTCTAACATCAGAGCCCAGTTTCATCTGTACGCCGAGAAGCCGCAGCAATGGAGTACCGGCACTGCAGACGCCTGGTTCTGATCGTGATCTTAAGTACGCTAAGTCGAACTTTTGCAAGTAACCACCTTACAAACAAACAGACCAGTTATATGTCTAAGTCATCTGGTCGTAATACTGAGAATGCGGTTTTAAAAGAAAACTTGAATCGCGAACAAACGGGAAAGTTTGCAGTTTTTGATTCTAAGGAGTCAAACGGCACTTACAGAGGAACAACGAAGGCTATTGTTTTGAACGACGAAGATAGCAATGACGCGTCAGGGGACGAGGCAGACATACAGACCGCCGCCTCTGGATTCGACTTGGCGAGCCATACTTTGAAGGAAATCATCCATAAGGTGCACAGAATCGAGCAATTAGAGGAATCCCAGGAGAAAAAACTGGACAATATTTTTGCGTTTCTGGCCCAATTGGACCTCGCCCTGTCGGACATACGGGATCAAATTTCTGGTGAGAAAAGTAAAGTTTTAAAAACTTTAAAAAGGCAGAAGTGCCGAAATATTGGCACGAAGTGCACTCGTCTCGGACCTTTATCAAAGTCAAACGTTTTTTCCCCAACAAATTCAATATAAATAGCGTAAACATTCAAGAATTCAAGTCAAATATTGCTTTATAATACCAAAAAAATCACTAATAAATATACCCAAGCCTTTCTTAGCATATTTTCCCGGTCTGTTATTTTATAATTATTTTTTTATTTACACAGATTTACCTCTGGATGTCATGCAGATTCTCAACGCCAAAAATATCATCAATACTGCTATCGTGTCAGTCCCTGTTGACAACGAAAGACAAGAGCTGAGACGTCCACGGACTCAGAGTGACTTACAGCTACAACAGACGTCTTCTGAAACTAAAACCAAGTTTGGTATCGTTCCTGCTTTGTCTGAAAGTGAAAAGCTCTCAAATGTTGATGTGTCAATAACGACAACAGCAGCATCAGTCACGACAACAGAGACTAGCCCGTCGCCCGCAGTGAAGTACAGGTCGTCAATTTATCATCTTTTGAGACAAAAAGAAACAGAAAGACTACAACACAAAGATGAAAATCGTCGTCAACCGCACGAAGTAGTAGAGCAACAGCAACAGCAGAAACAACAACATAAACAGCTGCGCAATTTAGTTCGAAATTCCCCTGTTGACCAACTGGGAAGTGGGTCTAGTAGCACGAGACATGGGCACCGGACATATACCTCCCCCATAGCCACTGGCACCCGAAGAGCACAGAGACGCTGGCTCATCACCAAATTCGGATCACGTGAGGCAGCATCCACGCTGAGGTCCCGAGAGGAAAAACACCTTTCAGGTAAAATCGAGCAGTAGTACTAGATTTTCATTTTTAACTGCCTATGGCAAACGCCAAAAGTATAGAATAAAACAGCAAACGTCTACTTGCACGCTGAAAAGCATAAACCTATACTATCCTTATGTTTCTGAAAAAGTCCTGAAAAAATATGTTTTTTACTTTACTAAAAAATGTTTGTTATTGCACGGGCGACTTCTCAAATATTTGATTTTTTAAATGACAACCATAAAAAATAATGCCTGCATTACATGCAAAAGAAAGGAACAGAACCACACGCACGCAGTGTCCACATCCCGATACATGTGACACGTTTCCGGTTAAAGAATTGATAGATTCTTGGCGGGGAATGCACGTGCGACCTCAACTGCTCTCACTCTACCCGTGATTATTATTATTATTTCATACTGACCCCTCCTTGGTTACTTTAGGGCAAAAGTGTCCCTAGAAATACCCACCACGTTTAACCACAACAATGCAACCCTCTGTGCCAGGATGTTTTTATGCCGTGCGTGTGTAGAGATGTGGTCAGACAAGACCAAAAGTGAACTGGAGTGGCCCAACTGTGCTGTGTTTGTAGAAAAGATCTCATTCTTTAGCTCCAGGGTCCAGAACAAATGTATGCTTTACATCTCTGTTAAGGTAGCAAGGCGACGCGAGAAGTTTTTTTATTCAATCTAAAGCAAATTTATCATTTTTTTAGAGCCACAATTGATAGCATTCAACTTTTATCTCTTATTATTTGGTTTGGAGGTGTCTTCAACAAGAACCATGGGGAATCGGGCAAAATTGTAACTGCATGTTACATGCCCGTAGCCAGGGGGGGGGGGTTCGGGGGTGTCGAAAGAACCGCCCCTTTTGCTGGGAAAAGGTCCACTCTGGGTAAAATTTGGTCTAGGTACATAAAGTTTTTATGGGAAAAGGTCCATTTTTTCAGAAAAAGAACCCCCCTTTTGAAATTGCTGGCTACGGGCCTGATGTAGTAAAATGTTTTAGTGTTTTAACATCGCAACAGTTTGCTTGAAATCTGAATGAAAAATATAGATTAATGACTGTAATCATCCAGTTTTTAGCCTTTATAAATTCTTACCTAGGAACAAGAAATTGTTTACATTTAAAGAAAGTAATATTCTAAAGGGGTTTTATACCATCATTGGTTACAATTTTAATTCTAACGTTTTGAAAGACCACTTATTCAACAGAACACGATGTCTCATTTTACAGAATGCCCCAAAGGATACGACCTCCGCTACGGTAAGAGCTGCTACTACGTCAGCCCCCGCTACTCGTACACCTTTGCGTGGGAACAGGCGCGTGCGCAGTGTACGGCTCTTGAGGGGAGTCTGCTTTCAGTGGAAACATGGGACGAACACCAGTTTCTGAAAACGCACTTGAAAGGTATCACATTTTCGATATTCCGATTATTTTATCCGCATTCCTTCTCTGTACTTCTTCTCATAATACTTTAGTGATAAGATAATTCTGATTAAATGATCATATGCTCTAGTTTGTGGCGTTTATTAAGTGCCTACAAAGCCCTACTACTGATATATTGTTTATCGGGTATGTTATTATCATAAAGTAGCATAGGTATATTTTTAAAAAAGGAAGNCTAGTGTGTTATTAAAAGGCTGATACTATAACTGATACATTGGTGAATAGTGCTATCTTTCATAATAGCACTGAGGAAGTGTGAATTAGCTTTGTGAGGTTTAGCTACCATTTTGTGTAGAAAGTGAAAAGTTTAACTTAGGATCATTATGAGAAGACTGAAATAATATATGAAATGTTTAATTTTGAAAATTTTGTGCATAATATAATAAAACATGACTATATAAAATCTCCATCAGTGTTATTTTTTCTTTGATGACATAATATTATATATAGTGCATAACATTCTTCACGTGAAAATTTCCAATAAATGCATTACAAGGTTTTTGAGACGCCGAGATCCCATGGCAAAGTTTCAGTTTCATCTTTTCTATCAGAGGTACCAATGACTCGATCCTTTATTAGCTTCCGTGCTAGTAAGATGCTACAGTGACAAGCAACCAAGAATTGCTACTAAGTTTATATGCATTCTAGACACTGAAAATGAGGAATTACGCGAAGGCAATTGCGACGGTATTAACTCTTGCGGTCGCAAATTGCGATGCTAGCAAGAAAGGCAATAGCGCCGAATCGCAGATTTTGAGATGCTTTCGAACATGCGAGCCCAGGTTTAATTTCCAACGAATGATGCAACGTGTATGTATGATTTTAATAAAAGTCCTAGGGCATGTAAACAGAAAAGATATATGTCGTTTGTACTGTGGTGTGTTTAATTATCTACTTAAAAATTGCGAGACAATAAGAAATGCAATATGAAACTAACTTTTTGTGGCAAAAATGCAACTTTAAAAAAAAATTCTTATCGAAACGCACTGAAAACACCTTGCTCGGTAAAGTAAGTGCTTTTTACTCTTTATTTCCTATTGACATTGAGGCAGGGGGTCGCATTATTATTATTATTATGAAAAAGTTACATTTCAATGAACGAGGTTTATACAAATCTCTTCAAATTAATAATCTCCACAAAATTACATTGCTCGTCAATTCTCTCAGAGGGTCAATATCTTTTGGGAATGTTCTCACAGTGTTCATTTCATTCATTTTACAGGTTTAACATACATTGTAAAGGCCATGTAAATATATTGACGCATGAATCATTTTGAATTTTCAATAAACATGAGTAGAGCGCTACGCGAAATGTTATTTAAAAAAGGAAATATGATTAAACTACCTACATTCCAAAGATTGGCACAGCACTCTGCTTTTAAAACAAATTTACTGGCTACCAGTACGGAATAGATTTTTTCTTACTTCATCATTATTTCTGTAGTTATTTGTATTATACCTTGCCATTATCTATTTATTGTAAATATCCAGATAGCAAGAAGTCGTCGAGCCGACAGCAAGTTTCAGCTACGAAGTTAATCCGATGCGCCGCCGAGCCGATTACGGTGTCGCTGTCGCTGGATAGGAATTATCTTTAAAGAGAATCGTTTTAAGTGTAAAAAGTTATAATTTTTTTAATGTTCTTTAAAGGTTGATTTAAAGTGTAACAAGTGACAAAAGAAAAAATCTATTAATTTTGTTATAGGTAATTGGAAATAACGTTTTGTAACCGTATGGTTTTTATTTAATAATGTTGTCTCTAGTTGATTATTTGCATTTCTTTTAATAAACCATTTTGTAAACAAGTTTTGTCTATATATTTGTTATGAGTACACAAGTGAATCAGATTTCTTTCACTATTTGATGTCGAATAAGCCGCCGTTAAAAGTTCATTTATGGGATTTAGAAAAAGCCCAAAAAGGCCATTTTCGGGTTGTTACCTTTCCCGGTCACAAATGCCACTCTCCACGTCTCAACTGGAACCCAGGTTTGGACAAACACGGCGGTTTCCTCTTTGTTTTCTGATTGGTGACATTGTTTTGAACATATTTATTTTTTGTTTCTGATACATATAGTAACCCGCTATTCTGTCTTTTGGACCCTTGTCTCATTTCTTGCGCACCCAACATACCTTCATCTTTGCTAAAATACAAATCTAGGAACTGAAAAAAACAATTCCCAGTTCTTTCGTGTTTTATTCGCCAATTTCACATTCCACACGACCTCCACTTTGTAACACTGAACGCTTGATTTATTGATCAGAATCTGTCGCCATAAATCAGCGCGAACAAAGCCAGTTCTCCGTCTTGCCACCCGATGTGTGATTGATAGGTTAAGGAATTAAAAATATAACTGATGCACTTTCCGGGGCAGGATGGGGTTAAGATGTGGGCCCGTGAAAGGTGTGATTAATTCATTGACACAGGTGTTGCTCGTTCTGGGCCACACACGTACAGATATTATCTTCGGCATGTATCCGAAGTGTTTCTTTCGGTAAGTCAACAATAAATTCGATTTTGCTTCAAGTGGGTTTTGGAAAATTCTTGACCTTAATTTAAGGTGTTTGACCGTGAAGTAGGTACAGAGGACTCTGAATGTTCGCACACATGTTCAGATTCGCGTGCCAAGACGGCATAGGTACATGTTTTAATGTGCTACACTACTTGCAGCGTCTATAAATGTACAGAAACTGCATTGCTCGCATATATGCTTTATGATTATCAGTTTCCAGTCCCTTCGGGCTTGAACTTTTTGTTCTTATTAAGACAAAACAATACACCGCATAATTTGAGAACTACATGTATATCTTTGGCAACCAGTGGCGGATTCATTATTTCGCGCTGTAACAGGATCTTTAATACCCCCCCCCCCCCCCACCACCATCCTGCAGGAAAAATATCAATATATTTTAAGAGAACATACCAGTCTTTTTACGATACTTACATTAGGGCCACACAGTCGGGTCTCCTTTTCTTTTGAGAAGGGACTGATGATCCGCCATTTTGCTTTGGAAATGGGGCGGGCGTAGGGGGAGGGAGGGGGTATAAGCCCTGAGTTTCCACAACGATAACGCTAACCACCACAGCACATTAATGATTTTTCAAGATAAATAAATAAAAACCCCGCAAAGTTAAAAAAATATTTCCTTTGGAACTTATTCCTCTGTATAGATTCTTGTCCTAGCACATGTCTATGACCTCATGAATCTGGATTTTCTATGGTTCAAGACATTTACTAATTAAAACTGGTAACCTCGAAGCGATTGACAAGCTATCAAAATTAATTTTGATATTAACAAAAAACAAGCAGAACCAGTTCTGGACATATTTAATGGCGTCACGGTAACCGGACAGTCACCAGCCAAGCAACAGGCCCAGTCTAGGGCATACATATCATCAGTTTATCCTCAGTTTATCATCTTTTGCGGCAAAAAGAAACGGCACAACAACACCACAAAGGCGAAGATGCCGCAGTCAGATATTATTCCAATCAATTAACAGGTGTTTACAAAATTTTTTGGCCCACGGTAAAATTCGCAATGAAATTACAATAAGTGCTCTAACCTCAGAGCCCAGTTTCATCTGTACGCCGAGAAGCCGCAGAAATGGAGTACCGGCACTGCAGACGCCTGGTTCTGATCGTGATCGTAAGTACTCTAAGTCGAACTTTTGCAAGTAACCACCTTACAAACAAACAGACCAGTTATATGTCTAAGTCATCTGGTCGTAATACTGAGAATGCGGTTTTAAAAGAAAACTTGAATCGCGAACAAACGGGAAAGTTTAGAGTTTTTGATTCGAAGGAGTCAAACAGCACATATAGAGGAACAACGAAGGATATTGTTTTGAACGACGAAGATAGCAATGACGCGTCAGGGGACGAGGCAGACATACAGACCGCCGCTTCTGGATTCGACTTGGCGAGCCATACTTTGAAGGAAATCATTCATAAGGTTCACAGAATCGAGCAATTAGAGGAATCCCAGGAGAAAAAACTGGACAATATTTTTGCGTTTCTGGCCCAATTGGACCTCGCCCTGTCGGACATACGGGATCAAATTTCTGGTAAGAAAAGTAAAGTTTTAAAAACTTTAAAAAGGCAGAAGTGCCGAAATATTGACACGAAGTGCACTCGTCTCGGACCTTTATCAAAATCAAACGTTTTTTCCAACAAATTCAATATAAATAGCGTAAACATTCAAGAATTCAAGTCAAAGATTGCTTAATAATACCGAAAAAAATCACTAATTAATATACCCAAGCCTTTCTTAGCATATTTTCCCGGTCTGTTATTTTATTATTATTTTTTCATTTACACAGATTTGCCTCTGGATGTCATGCAGATTCTCAACGCCAAAAATATCATCAATACTGCTATCGTGTCAGTCCCTGTTGACAACAAGAGGCAAGAGCTGAGACGTCCACGAACTCAGAGTGTCCTACAGCTACAACAGACGTCTTCTGAAACTAAAGCCAAGTTTGGTGTTGTTCCTGCTTTGTCTGAAAGTGAAAAGCTCTCAAATGTTGATGTGTCAATAACGACAACAGCAGCATCAGCCACGTCAACAGAGACTAGCCCGTCACCCGCAGTGAAGTACAGGTCGTCAATTTATCATCTTTTGCGACAAAAAGAAACAGAAAGACTACAACACAAAGATGAAAATCGTCGTCAACCGCACGAAGTAGTAGAGCAACAGCAACAGCAGAAACACCAACATAAACAGCTGCGCAATTTAGTTCGAAATTCCCCTGTTGACCAATTGGGAAGTGGGTCTAGTAGCACGAGACATGGGCACCGGACATATACCTCCCCCATAGCCACTGGCACCCGAAGAGCACAGAGACGCCGGCTCATCACCAAATTCGGATCACGTGAGGCAGCATCCACGCTGAGGTCCCGAGAGGAAAAACACCTTTCAGGTAAAATCGAGCAGTAGTACTAGATTTTCATTTTCAACTGCCTATGGCAAACGCCAAAAGTATAGAATAAAACAGCAAACGTCTACTTGCACACTGAAAAGCATAAACCTATACTATCCTTATGTTTCTGAAAAAGTCCTGAAAAAAATATGTTTTTTATTTTAGTAAAAATGTTTGTTATTGCACTGGAGACTTCTCAAATATTTGATTTTTTAAAAAATAACAACCATAAAAAAATAATGCGTGCATGTAAAAGAAAGGAACAGAACCACACGCACGCGGTGTCCACATCCCGATACATGTGACACGTTTCCGGTTAGAGAATTGATGTAGTCTTGGCGGGGAATGCACGTGCGACCTCAACTGCTCTCACTCTACCCGTGATTATTATTATTATTATTTCATACTGACCCTCCTTGGTTACTTTAGGGCACAAGTGTCCCTAGAAATACCCACCACAATTTACCACAACAACGCAACCCTCTGTGCCAGGATGTTTTTATGCCGTGCGTGTGTAGAGATGTGGTCAGACAAGACCCAAAGTGAACTGGGGTGGCCCAACTGTGCTGTGTTTGTAGAAAAAATCTAATTGTTTAGCTCCAGGGTCCAGAACAAGTGTACGCTTTATATCTTTGCTAAGATAACATGGCGACGCGAGAAGTTTTTTCATTCAATCTAAAGCAAATTTATCAATTTTTTTAGAGACACAATTGATAGCATTCAACATTTATCTCTTATTATTTGGTTTGGAGGTGTCACCAACAAGAACCATGGGGAATCGGGCAAAATTGTAACTGCATGTAGTAAAATGTTTTAGTTTTTTAACATCGCAACAGTCTGAAATAAGAATGAAATATATAGATTAATGACTGTAACCATCCTGCTTTTAGCCCTTTTAAATTCTTACCTAGTAACAAGACACTGTTTACATTTAAAGACAATTTTAATTCTAACGTTTTTAAAGACAACTTATTCAACAGAACACGATGTCTCATTTCGCAGAATGCCCCAAAGGATACGACCTCCGCTACGGTAAGAGCTGCTACTACGTCAGCCCCCGCTACTCGTACACCTTTGCGTGGGAACAGGCGCGTGCGCAGTGTACGGCTCTTGAGGGGAGTCTGCTTTCAGTGGAAACATGGGACGAACACCAGTTTCTGAAAACGCACTTGAAAGGTAACACATTTTCGATATTCCGATTATTTTATCCACATTCCTTCTCTGTACTTCTTCTCATAATACTTTAGTGATAAGATAATTCTGATTAAATGATCATATGCTCTAGTTTGTGGCGTTTATTAAGTGCCTACAAAGCCCTACTACTGATATATTGTTTATCGGGTATGTTATTATCATAAAGTAGCATAGGTATATTTTTAAAAAAGAAAGAAATACTTTCTTATGTACATTATTCTGAAATCATTATTGCAGATCGTGAACGGTACGGCTATGTATGGTGGACAAGCGGAAAATACTGGCCACCAACACAACTGTTCATCTGGACAGCCAACGCCAACAGAGTGACCTACGCCGACTGGGCACAGAACGAGCCGAAGGTGCGAGAAAATCGCTGTATTACGATGTGGAGCGGGCTCCGGTTTAAGTTCTATACAACCCCGTGTGACGTACTAATTGCTACGGCGTTTATATGCGAGGTGCATCTAAATTGATGATGTTAAAGGTTTCCCCAAAATCACAGCGCTACGTGGGCATCAGAATCACTGATGGCAAATCCTCGCCTTCTTCACACCCATGAACTATAGACAGCTGACTTAAGACTACTTGCACTAGACATCTGTGCAGGAGAGTCCACATATTTTATTCAGTCATGTTGACAGTTCTTTTTCTTTTTGCAGTAAATATTGTGTTCAAACTGATCTTTTTAACTACATTTAACACCTGCCGTTGTGTTTAGTTCTATTTATAATCAATTACTTCAATCACCTTACGGTTTTCTTCAATAATAAGTAAATGATTAAATGTTCTTATTCATTTATTCATTCATCATCCCAAGGATTAATGTTAATACACATGGTATTTAACCCTGAGCGCTGTGGTTAACTTTTTATTTTCCATCTTTTTCTTGGATATTTTGATCCACAATGTGTCTTCTCTCAAAGAATTATCTCAGCAGCTGTGGTTAGCGCTAAGGAAAAGCGACAATTTATTTTTTCAATCAACAGTCAATACTAATACTGTTACATGTAATAACACGAGCAGATGCTCTAGATAGATATCGAAATAATGTAGGTAAACAACATTTTCAATATCAAGTGTTAGTTGAAGAAAAATTGGATGTTTTGCCCCCTCCCCTCTCTCTTTGATAGCACTGCCAGTGATGACCTCATCTGACCTTTTAATTTATTTTCGCATAATTTCATTGCGCTATTTACAGAGGTTTGGTTAAACATTATCCTGGTACCATAGGCATAATTTATAAATATAATGCAATCACGGTAAAACCCACGAGCTCTGAAGTAATCAAGGCACCCACAACCGAAACAATGGTGGTCACATTGCACGTGCCGCGGTGACGTCACTGATATGAAACTCCTCGATATTCATTGCATAATTATCAGCGATAAATGCCGCAAGGAGTCACGGATCGTGACCAGGACTACAATGTAAATAAGGAAGTTGAATCTTAATATAGGTCAATGGTAAGTTAACTCTGCATAATTGACAATAAAATTTCTTGTGTGCACGCGTGTTCGCGTGCTAGTTGAAAAACCCGTTCAGTATTTATTGGGACTACTCGACGAGGCGGAGGCAAAGGTCAAATATATCAGAAACAACACAACTCAATGATTTAAAGAATTTTTATGTAGAAATTGTCTTCATATCATTGAGGTGATATGTACATACAAACAAGGCTTAAAGGAATACAAACGGGAAAACGCTTTAAACATCTAAGCAACATCGATTAATATGTTTTATCACGGTGCGTTTACTTGCTTGTAATTTACGCGGATAAAAATATACATGCACGTGTGTTTATTTGCCCGTGTGTATTTGGGTGTTTTCACCCGATATATATATATATATTTATATTAGAGATATATAAGAGATGTCCATTTATGCCTACGCAAAATAGTTAACAAGGAAGGCGCAAAAGGCACATTCACAAATGAAAATAAATAAAACACCATTCCTCTGAAAAATATAAAACTAGTGTAACAAAAGTGAAAACGTTAACTTATATATGAAAAAACAAGGCAGTAATAAAGCCTTTCTGAAAAAAATATCATCATACGAATACCTTATATGTTGCAAGAGCTACACAGCAAGTCGGCATCAATTCTTTAAACAATTAACTCAAGAACGATGGCAGTTCTAAAAAAAGTAATACAATACGGAATCAATAGATCAATAAAGTTGACGTACATGTATAAGAAACAGCCATTAGAGCTACGACGATAATGACGTCACTGTCCCCCTGTGCCGATGTCTGCGTTGTTGGCGTGGAGCAGAAGTAACACTCGGTGACGGAGACGGTTTTCCCGTGGACGCCATCTTTGTCGTGGTCATCTTTGCGGAACCGCTCGTGTCTTGTGGTGAAGCGGGGGGAAAAATTCCACCAGATGGCCCTTTCTTTCCTGCTAAATTCGGACTGAGTGCTTTCGCAGACGATGGAGTATTTGCCGTCGAAGTTGGAAGAGAAGTTGCCGCAGATGTTGATGTCTCCAGTTTTTCCCGATCAACAGAAATCCAGTTCTTAATATGGTTGTCATAGGCGCGAATTTCATTCAGGGTTCTGATAAGGGCATGGGAGTATTTTCCATTGTACCAAGGTCCAGTGTAGAAAAAGAAATATCGGAAGGCAGTGGAAGTTTGAATGCCTCGAAAATGAGCTGAAGCTGAAAAAAAAAAAAAAAAAAAAAAAAAACACCTTTCAAAGTGCTCTATCAATGAATCCAAATGCAGGTAATGTGGCCCACAATTAACACTAATAATAAACGTGTTAAAAGGAAAGGGGGCTATTTAAAAATTTTGTATCAAAATAAAATTAGTTTTTTTATCGATTATAATTATATTGACGTTAATATAAAAATTTAAAGATTTAAATAAAATGAGTCGTAATTTGTAAAAATGGAGGGTCTTTAAATTACAAGAGGTGGCAAAACCTTGAAGAAAAAATATTTTAACGAGACCATTACGTCCACGTCCGCGCCACTCTTGACGCCGTATATTCGACAGAACTATTTATTTGCGAGCAAAAAAAAAAAAAAAAAAAAAAAAAAAAAAAAAAAAAAAAAATTCGTTCACCTTATCAATTCCCACCGCCAAACTTCCATTGAGTGAAAGTGTCTTCTCCTGGAGGTCTTTGGCATAACTTGGTAGAGTGATGTTGAGAAGATTTTCAATCGTCTCTCTCCATCCCATCACATTCTGGTACACGCAGGTCGTCTTAAGCTATAAAATATATTTAGATAGTAAATATGAATGTAAACAAAGTCAAAAGAAAAGAACACCAAAGCATTTCACCTTCAAAAATAGAATTTAAATTCGGACAAAATTAAAAATTATGCAAACGTGTGCACTTAATTATGAATTAGGAGAAACAGGTCCTAATACAATGTTGTATTTATAAATTAAAACATATGCAGATAAAGTGCATCGTTTAATGTTATATGAAAACGAATTACAAGAAGACCACCCTAAATCACATCATAATTGTTTATGTACGTAGTAACTAAACTATCTAATGGAATGTAACGAGAAACAGTTTCATTTTTATTCATTTATTTGATCTTTGTTAAACCCGAGATGGTAAAACAATTTGTTTTTTTTTGTAAATTATTATTATTATTATTATTATTATTATTATTATTATTATTATTATTATTATATGACAGCCCCTGTCACTGATAGGTTAAACAATTAACCTCTAATTAAATGGCCTCAGAGTCCTGACAAACAAAATATTTATAATAAACAACTAAAAATCGCATTTCAAAATATAAATTCATTTATTATTTAAAGGCAACCATTTCACAGATAGCGTAGAACAAAAACGGTGACCTGAAATTACCTTTCCTGGAAAATTTCAACTTCGGGTTTGAAATTTGAAAAATCTTAATATTGAGACAATCCCTTACCTGAGCGTCGCAGGAAGGCGTGGTTGCGGGCAGACACTCCGGCCGGAGCTGGTCACTGGTCTGAGAAACAGACGTTGTCACGTCCCACGGAAGGCAGTAACTGCCCACCATATTCTGGAAAAAAAAACCCCACAAATATACAGATTAGGTATAGTTTAATTACACGTAAAGGAAGCGAAATAAACACGAGGGATGCATTTAGCGAGTTTATCTGGCGTAGAAGTCACCATCCATTTAAATGAATTTTCACTTTTTACATCAATTTGCAGTTTTCTTAATTTGTAGAGAGATCTGTTATCTGTCGTGCTGGACCTCGAATTTCAGAATTTCTTAATTTTAATTTATAACTAATTCTTGTTAAGGCTTTATGAATAAATAACCCTTCTTTTTTCCCTATAATTTGTAGGGTCAAATTTTACAGTTTTGTCGTTGAGCGAGTCTTGCCATTTATTACTTATGCTACTTAAACACACTGTTTTAAAATCGAATAAAGTTCAAAATTAACACTTAGCATCGCTATGCAGTGGTGCGGTGTTGGTATGGAATATAGAAAATGTTGATGTTATTGTTCTTAATGACACATTATTTATGTCTGATAATCTACATGTTAAATGAATTACACGTAGTGCGATTTGAAATGATTATCAAAATATGAGCAGAGAAAACAACCGTCCATAAGTTTTGAAAAAGATTTTAAAACAATAGATACGCCTCATTTGTGAAGGGAATACGCCATTTGAGATATTTTCCGATTGTTTTTTTCACGTATTGTCATGAAAATGGATATTAATCTTTTTCACGAAATTTACACACAACGTCCAGATATAAAGAAAAACAAATAAATTCTTTGATAAAAAAATAACCAAGTTTCTAAAATATATCATTAAAACAGGTCTATTGGCATAATTTTAATTAAAAATAAATTTGAAAATTCCACTTTCTTTTCCTGCGCTTGAGATTGTCGCAGGGAAATTTCAGCAGGTTGAAAGTTCAAAAATGAAGAAGCTGCATCATTTCGGATCTGAAGCATTTTTGGACATTCTATCCGACCATATCAAAAATACGTGAGAATGGTCATTCACGCTCACCTGGACTGTAGGCAGGGTAAGTAAGGCGTCGGACTCGCCTCGGATCCGTGTCCACACTCGGATAAAATCGTTAAAATACGAACGTTGTCGAAGTCGTGAGATGCTTTGATCGCCATCTGGTTTCTTCGGAACCGGTTTGCAGTCTAATTCCGCCACAAAGATCAGCAGCAGCTGGATGCCTTTTTCCTGGAATAATGATAGATCCAGACCATACTGAACTGGAATTGACTCATTCAGAAATGAAGAAAATGCCACAATTTTAGAAAGAAAAGATCAGTTCAGAGCTGATACACGTGCGATTTCACCAACCCAGCTACACAGGGCAGGCAAAGTTGCCTGGGTCCTGTCCCGCCCGGTCCTGAAGACTAGTTCCCACTCACCACTGGCCGCTTTAAAACCACCTGCTACTGTTCCTCATGTACAGCGGTACGTACATGCGTATGGACACACACACACACACACACACACACACACACACACACGCAACCAGAGAGACACACACACAGAGAGAGAGAGAGAGAGAGAAAGAGAGAGAGAGAGAGAGAGAGAGTTCCCCAAGCGTAAAACCTTAAACCTGCCTGTTATATGTTATCTCCTGTAAAAGCAGCCAACTTACAGTACTCTAAAGCTGCCCCGGTGTATAATATGACAAATTCAAAGTAGCAGTCGCTTTCACAAATATTTCACAAATATATTGCCGGGAACCTAATTGAAGTCTAGAAGTTCCGGGTCGTGATGTACAAATGCCCCCCATGTCGAGAACAAATTAGTTTATCGCTCATATGTATCTTTCTTAGAATTTGACTATT